GTGTGACCCGATAAACCTAAGCACCTTGTGGCAAGGGAGAAAGGACAAAACAATGTTATCCTACACAGAATTGCCACAAATTTTTGTGTGCATTGCGCTAAATAGATATCTAGCTTAGAATTTAATTTTGTTAGGTTTTTTTATGACTGAAATTATATCAGTACGATTTTTTGAGGAGGCTTTCATTTCTCTGTTATATAGTCTAGACTTCTTTGTTGTAAATATGTACATACATGTAAGTTTATTCCTGGCCTTGCATCCTATTTTATTCTATTGGTCTTTAAAGTCTGTTTTTTCCAGTGCGTTAATCACTGCTGTGTTGTAGTGTAGCTTTGTAGTGGAAGAGTGTGATGCCTCCAGTTTTCATTACTCATAGAATGAAGATTTTCTTTATTTTTTTCCAAAGAAAACTTTAATTTTTTTCTTGAAGAATGCCACTGGATTTTGAAAGGGATTGCAGATGAATATACAAACTACTTTAGTTATTATGGACATTTTGCAATAGAATTTGTCTAATTCATGATCATGGAATATTGTTCTACTTATATCCTCTATTTATTTTGACAGTATCTCAATATTCTTTAAATAAAAAGCTTGTTCTTGGCTCTAAGACATGGAAAGAAACATGATATGCCTTAGAAGGCAAATATTACCAAAGGACAGATAGAAAGGACAGATAAAAGGAGTGAATGAACCTTCAAAGTAGTAAAACCTTATAATTTATATTTTCTGTTACTTTAAAATATTTGATTTAATGTATTACATCTTCAGAAGTTTTTAGAAATAGCAAAATAACAACGAGTGTAAGCAGTAAGAGTTATCTTCTGTAGTACCTGGATATATTTGCTTGTCTCTTTCACATCAACAGAATCAAAACTGCTCCCATGGTTGTGTCTCTGAGTGTAAAATTAGTTAAGAAGATAATTAAACTTTTTTGTTATTGAATATATATATATATATTGTTAAAAAGTTGTTGATGATTGAGTTTCAGTCATACAATGTTCTAACACCCATTCCTTCACCAGTGCACATTTCCTGCCACTGATGTCCCCAGTTTCCCTTCATGTCTTGCCTCCTTGGCAGACACTTTTTTTTCTCTGTCTCATTTTCCTATTAGGCACTGTGGTTTCAGTATTTTTACAGAAAGGGTCTAATGCATAGAAAATATTCGTACTTATTAGGTGACAGGTGAAAGGGGGCTGGAGTGATAGTACACCGGGTAGGGCGTTTACCTTGCAGGCAACCAACACCACCGACCTGGATTCGATTCCTCTGCCCCTCTCATAGAGCCCGGCAAGCTACTGAGAGTATCTTGCCCGCACGACAAAGCCTGGCAAGCTACCCGTGACATATTCGATATGCCAAAAACAGTAACAACAAGTCTCACAATGGAGACGTTACTGGGCCCACTCAAGCAAATTGATGAACAATGAAAGGACAGTGACAGTGATTAGGCGAAAGAACTCTGTTAGGGGCTGGAGACATAGGGCACTTGTCTTGCATGAGACCAATCAATTAGATTGACAGGAATCCCATATGATCCTCTGAGCACTACCAGCATAAATTCTAAATATAGAGCCAGGAGTAACTCCTGAGCAAAGCTCTCTGTGGCCCAAAATCTAACAAAAATATTTTAAACAAAACAAAATATATGTTCTAATATTTCCTATTGTGAGTTCTTTCACATATTTCTAGAATGCTCAGAATAGGTGGTTCTATCCAGGTTCCCCACTCTTTTGTCAGGACATCAGTCTTTCTGAAATGATAACAAAATAGGTGGATCTTGATAGGCCAGACTGCCCAGCATGATGATTTAAGAAAAGATAAGGAAGAATAATTAATTCAAAATTAAATAAGCACATCCATGTTCATTACAGTTTAGCACAATAACCAGGATATGGAAAGATTTCCACAGAAGTTAAATGGATAAAGGGTTTTTGGATTACTATGGAACACTATGCATTCATAAAAAAAAATGAAGCAAGCAGTTCATTTCAGCATACCTTCATACTGGAAGGTATCATGCTAAAGTTAAATAAGTCAGAGAATGGAGAATAAACAACCAGATAATACCAGTAATCTATGGTATGTAGATAAATAAAGCAAGCAAACAGTAGCAAACATTTGCCAAAGCCTTGAACCTTGAATACAGAACTAAGAAACAAAGTAATCTGGAAGTCAGTGAGGGGGATCATGGTATGAACTGCAAGTAGTGTGGGCCTTGCTAGAGGGTGTTGGGTTCTTTGGTTGGGGTGAGATAACTGTGTCCATCAGAACCATGAACATTAAAACAATTGTAAAGCAAAACAAATCGGTAAACTGGAACGTTGGTGCTGGGCATGGTGTAGCAGTAGCATTTCAAATATGTATAAATAATGGTACTGTACTATAGTGAAATTATAGTTATTTTGAAAATTAAAAAATCAAGAATACTGAGATCAGATCTCATGGATTGGCACAGCTTTTCCACTAACTAGCCACAATATTTCCTTTAAAGACATTAAACCCTATAGATGAGGCTGGAAAATTCAAGCAAGGGAACACAGGCATTTGGAGTATTTCAGAATAGAATATTCTAACTCCTACTTTCATGAGATCTTAAGTATTGCGCTCTGTCCTCCTAATGTTATTCATTCAGAATTGGAAATGGGAATAAAACATTATAGGAGATTTAACTTTCACATATCCAAATTACCCATTATGCCCAAGGACTTTCTTAAAATAGTGGTGTTATTTCTATTAGTGGTTTGTACAGTCCCTCCATGTCTCTTATCCTGTTATTTTTACTTGTGAAAAAAATAAAGTAAAAGCCAGGAGAAATAAAAATGGAAAGCATACTTTCTATACATGACTATATTATTTGTGATACTGTCTTAATACATCTAATTTTAACTCTGTCCTTCACTTGGGTAGTTGACAGTTCTATTTCCTGCTTTGTAAGGTAAAGGCCCTCCCGTTGATCGTCGATTTGCTCGAGCGGGCCCAGTAACGTCTCCATTGGAGACTTTGTTGTTACTGTGTTTGGCATATCCAATACTCTCGGTAGCTTGCCGGGCTCCCCGAGAGGGGCGGAGGAATCGAACTCGGGTTGGCCATGTTGGCCGCTTGTAAGGCGAACGCCCTACCCACTGTGCTATCGCTCCTGCTTTGTAAATTTTTTTAATACATGAAAATCATTGACAAATCAGGGGAGGGCAAGAATAGGAACAAATATATTTTGTGTGTATTTCTGTGTGTTCATTTTTTGTGACTGTGTGTGTATTTGATTCAAAGCATGCATATTAAAGTCACTGTTAATGTTTAGCTTTAAAAATATATGGCCTTGGAAAGTATCATGCTAAGTGAAATAGTCAAAAAGAGAGGGACAGACATAGAATGACTGCACTCATTTGTGGAATATAAAGTAGCATAATAGGAGACTAATACCTAAGGACAGTAGAAATAAGGGCCAGGAGGATCGCACCACAGCTTGGAAGCCGGCCTTACATGCTAGGGAAAAGGCAGCTGAGATAGAGAAGGGACCACTAAGTAAATGATGATTGGAGGGATCGCTCGAGATGAGAGATGTGCATTGAATGTAGATAAAGAACCAAACACAATGGCCTCTTAGTAGCTGTATTGCAAACCGTAACACCCCAAAAGAGAGAGTAATATTTTGTTTTGTGTCTGTCATAGAGGCTGGGGTGGGTAGGGTTGGGGGTGGCAGGAGGGATACTGGGAACATTGGTGGTGGACAATGTGCACTAGTGGAGGGATGGGTACTCGATCAATGTATGACTGAAATGTAATCGTGAAAGTTTGTAAGTCTGTAACTGTATTTCACAGTAATTCAATTTAAAAAATACTAATAAATAGAAGAATAATATAAATGCTTTAAAATTTTTAACATAGTATATGGGTGCAGCTAAAAGGATTGTGAAACCAAATTAAATTTAAAAAGTAAGTCTAAATATTTTCAAAATTGTGTCCATTATGAGGAAACTTTTAGGTATTCAGAGATTAAAATGTGGGAAAAAGAAGGTAATATTTGTGTAATTTTTAGCATATTAGAGTTTTACATTTAGAGTTGTTCCCTCTAATACCTTTACCAACATCATATATAATTTTATAGGTAGGTTATTAATATCAAAGTCTAAAATGCTTATGACAGACATTATTACATATGAACATATATGTGTTTGTGTGTATGTATATGCTTGTGAGTTGATTCTGATATTACATGATAATACAAGAATTAAAAATTCTAGATTCGCTAGTCAGAAACTGGAAGAAACCTGAATGCCCAAGAACAGATGACTGGTTAAAGAAACTTTGGTACATCTACACAATGGAGTACTATGTAGCTGTTAGAAAAGATGAAGTCATGAAATTTATATACGAGTGGTACAACATGGAAGGTATCATACTATGCGAAATGAGTCAGAAAGAGAGGGATAGACATAAAAAAATTGCATTCATCTGGGGGACATAAAGTAACAAAATATAAGATTAATACCCAAGAATAGCTGAGATCAGCACCAGGAGGATTACTCCATAACTCAGGGGCCAGCCGGGCATTCTAGGGGAAAGGGCAGCTCAGATAGAGAAGGGAGCACCAAATAAAGGGTGTTTGGAGGATCCTCCCAGGAGGGGAGATGCATGTCGAAAGTAGACTATGGACTGAACATGTTTGCCACTCAAAGCCTCTTTTGCAGACCACAACACCCAAAAGGAGAGAGAGAACACAAGGGATTGCCCTGCCACAGAGGCAGGGTGAGATGGGAGGGATGGGGGTGGGAGGGATATTATCCATGGTGGTGGAAAATGGGCATTGGTGGAGGGATGGGTATTTGATCATTGTGTAATCGAAACCCAAGCACAAAAAATTGTAAATCTACAACTGTACCTCATGGTGTTTCACTAATAATAATTAAAAAAAAATTCTAGATTCGCATATCTTAGAAAATGACAAACTGCATATACAGGAAAAAAAATAAGTCTATTAATTTTCATGCCTTCAGTTTTGGGAAGAGAACAGACCTGATTTTATGAACATCCAGCTGTATCTCAGTCGAACAGATGGACTCCAGGTATGTGGTTGAATGTCACTGTAAAGTCAGAGGCCTCTTGACAATAGAAGGTTTACGGTAAGGACTAAGTTAAGGTTCCTGCAGATGGCTTGAGGGAAAGTTCACTGTAGAAAAGTCACACGGAGTATTCAGAAAGATCATGGCTTCTTTCTGAAGCAAGTAAGTATGCTCCATGTTGTTCTTCTCGGGGACTGGAGCAGACCTTTGATCTCTTCATCTTCATCTTCATCTCTTGCTCTTCTTGACTATTGATTGCCAGAAGCTCTTTACTTCTAGATAACACACCATCAAGCAACAGTCTTATAATTGTGATTAAGGAAAGATCATGTTTATTTTCATTCAAAGCAAACTAAAATGCATTATTCCCTACAATTTTCTAGATTGTATGCAAAGCATTTCACCTACATGATTTCATGTAATTCAACAGATTCAAATGTTAGGTATTACTATTGGTTATTGTTATCTCCATATCACAGATAAGTTTTTATGCTTGGGATTTCAGACATTTTCCCCTGTCTGAGTAAAAAGAATTTTTTCATCCTGACTCTGTATTGTGATTCAAATCGAATAATCTCAAACACTGACCCATACAAATTACTTGTTGACCAACACACATTTGGGCTCCTCTCCCTTAGGTTGCCTGAGGTAGGTTCATCTCCTTGAATTTATAATAAAACTTTGTAGTACTTTACTAATATAATGAGCCAAGTAAAAATAATTAACAAAGGGGTTGGAGAAGATAGTACAGTGAGTAAGGTGTTCATGCTGCATGAGGCATGAACATGTTTTATCCTTGGCTACAAATACAGTCCCTTAAGTACTCCCCAAGCCTCACACCCACCAGTGCTCAGTCATGTCTGACCCCTGAGCACTGCAAGTCATGTCTCCAAATAAAAACAAAGTACCTTCTTCAATAACGTATATTTGTATAATGCACCTGCTTTTCTGTTTGCCACTTAGAGTGCATTCTTTGTCTTAATATTTAGTTGTTATAAAATAAAGCAACTAGGATTGTGCTCTAAGCCCATGATCTCTCTGGAGCACATATCCTGCTGGTTTCTCTTGCGGTCTCCTTGCTTGCTTCTTTCCACTCTAGAGAAGCTAGCCTTCTCGCTGGGACATGTACTTCTTTCTTTATCTTCTCTCTCATCTTGCTAAGTAAGATTTTTTAAAAAGCAATCTTGCTTCACAAATAAATAAATTAAGCAACTCACTAAAAATTAGAATGCCAGTCATTTGTTTATAACTAGAATTCTATTCAAGAAGATGGATTTTAGGAGGAAAAGAAGGAAATAATGCTTCTAAATGACTGTACTTTATATATTACCACTTCGCATGTGTATTTTTTAGCTATTTGGTAGGGAATTAGGTCCAGGCAGAAATTATGTCAGATAAAAAATGTTGTTTGTTCAAGTATGAAAGTTTGTAAGTCTGTAACTGTACCCCATGGTGATTAACTAATAAAAAATTAAAAAATAATAAAAAATTAAAAATTTTAAAAAGGGTAAACCTAATTTGAAAAAAAAATGTTGTTTGCCTAACTTGTCATATAAAATGTAGTGTTTTCTTTTTAAAAGAAGATAATTGGAGATAAATACCAAGCACTGAATTCAAGACTTTTTATCGGACGTCCTCAGTGGAAACTTCTATTTGATGAAGTAGCAAAATGTAATAGAGGGTAAGTACTTTGCCTCTAAAAATTTGGCATGTGGCTATTGATCAAAATAAAATATTCCTCAATCATTTAATAAAGCTTTAAAATAATTTAAAATGTTTTTTCAAATTAAAAAATCAGAAGCACATCACTGTCACAGGAGGAAGTAACAAAGTTATAATTTCTACTTGTCTGTAGTTGAAATAAAATTTGGCCTACAAATGATGCAGAAAGGATGAACAAGATGATCCTACCTGCATTTATATTTTCTACTGCATTTAAATTTTTATAGACTCATATTTTCATTGGTATTTAGATTCACAATGTATACTATGTGATAATTGAGAGGAAATTAAAATTATGTGTGCAAAGTAATGAGCTCTACAAATAATTTTACATCTTTTGCTGCAGCCATTCATCTTATATTAGTTGTGATAATATTGTCACATTTGGATTTCGTATTGCACCACAAACTTATTCTTTTTTAATTATATTTAACTGACCACTGAATAACTTTGTTTGATCAATTCCCATGGCTCAGTGTTGAACATTTTTTAGTTTTCTTTTGTTTTTGCTCAATTTAGAAGCAAATCTGAAAAGAGAAGTTCAATTAGAAAAATATTATTTAAGAATCATTGGTTTCTTTCATTAATTAGTTCTCAAGAATTCACACCATAATGTTCATGATTTAGAGGGATTTTTATGTTTATGGTTTTTAGATTATATTATGTAAATAGTTCATTTTCTTTTAAAGTTAAAAATGATTTCCAGAAGAACATTATTCCTGGTAGAAAGAATAGGAATCTTGTTTGTCGTATTCTCATCGGGGAAGCATCATGTTGAGAGATTGTTATTTGTATATTAAAATATAAGTAACTAGTTAGCAAAAATTTAGATATAATCTAAATATTACTTTATATTTAGATGTATATTTAGCCTGGCAAGCTCCCTGTGGCATATTCGATATGCCGAAAACAGTAACAACAAATCTCACAATGGAGACGTTACTGGTGCCCGCTTGAGCAAATCAATGAACAATGGGAGGACAGTGCTACAGTGCATTACTTTATAAGTCATCCAATGTTCAGTAATCTGTCAGGAAATTATTTTACAGCTAATCAACTGATATTCTAAGCTAGCTGAATTTATATTTTATATAACAGGAAACTCTAGCTGTACTTTTGTGTGGCCTTTGAATCCCATACTCTGGGATCAGGGTGAAAAATGTTTAATATCATTTCTGTATTTTACTGTCTCGTGGTGCTTTAAAAACAATGCAAATTCAGAAGTCCGGACATGTTTTTTCACAGTTGCTTCTGTGTCCTTTAGTAAGTCACTCAAATCTTCTAGCTCATGGTCAAGAAGAAATAACATACCAGGAATGCATAAATTATCATTAAGTGTGATTTTACCCTTGCAAATCTTTGTGAAATAAATGAGTATATAGCATAATAGGAAAATTTTCATATATTATTGAACATTTATGGAATTAGTTCCCAACTTCTGGCATCTAAACAAAATTTTATAGGTAAATCTCAGGAAGATTATTGAAATGTGATAATCTACTACATATTAGTATTGCACATGGATTGAAAAGATTAATTATGCAGCTTAAAAGTGAGTATAATATGGGGCCAGAGGAATAGTACAGGGATAGTTCGAGTCACTTGCCTTGTACGCAGCCATTCTGGTTCAATTCACAGCACCATATAAGGTTCTATTTGTATGAGTAGGAGTGATAAGAGCCAAAACTATATCATGAGCACCAACAGTGTATCCCAAATTCCTCACCCATCACCTCAAGAATGAGGAGGCTCTAATTAAGATAGTAAAAGCAACAATGGGGAATTTCTAAAGTCACACTTAGATGTGTACTGATTAACAACTTGAAGAGCAGATAAAATTGTAAAAATGTAAAAAAAAATCTTTGTGTGATTTTAAAATAATTATTTTTAAAATAATATTTAAGAAGAAGCTTTACTCCACTTCACATTACTTGCACCTTTATCAAAGATTAGATGAGCATATGATTGAGGAGAGATGTCAGTGTATTCAACCCTGTTCCATTGGTCTGCAGTTCTGCCTTTGTTCCAGTACCATGCTGTTTTAATTATTACTGCTTTGTAGTACAGTTTGAAGTTCGGGAGGTTGATTCCTCCCATTTTCTTTTTCCCAAGAATTGCTTTAGCTATTCGTGGGGGCTTATTGTTCCATATAAATTTCAAGAGTGTTTGCTCCATTTCTTTGAAGAATGTCATGGGTATCCTTATAGGGATTGCATTGAATTTATACAATGCTTTCGGTAGTATTGCCATTTTGACAATGTTAAGTCTCCCGACCCATGAGCAGGGGATATCTTTCCATTTCCTCATGTCCTCTTTTGTTTCCTGAAGTAGCGTTTTGTAGTTTTCTTTGTACAGGTCCTTTACTTCCTTAGTTAAGCTGATTCCTAGGTACTTGATTTTCTGGGGCACAATTGTGAATGGGATTGTTTTTTTCATGTTGCTTTCTTCTCTCTCACTGTTTGCGTATAGGAAAGCCATGGACTTTTGGGTATTGATTTTATAACCTGCAACTTTACTATACGAGTCTATTGTTTCTAGGAGTTTTTTGGTGGAAGTTATTGGGTTCTCTAAGTAGAGTATCATATCATCTGCGAATAGTGAGAGCTTGATTTCTTCCTTTCCTACCTGAATGCCCTTAATATCTTTTTCTTGCCTAATCGCTATTGCAAGTACTTCCAGTACTATATTGAACGGCAGTGGAGAGAGTGGGCATCCCTGTCTCGTCCCTGATCTTAGAGGGAAGGCTCTCAGTTTTTCCCCATTGAGGATGATGCTTGCTGTAGGCTTGTGGTAGATGGCTTTAATTCTTTAATAAATTGTGTTGGCATCACTGGACGGCTACATGCAAAAAAATAGGCTCAGAACTCTGCCTAACACCATGTACAAAAGTAAGATCAAAATGGATTAAAGACCTCAACATCAGACCAGAAACCATAAGGTACATTGAAGATAAAGTTGGCAAAACCCTCCATGACATTGAAGCTAATGGTATCTTCAAAGATGCCACGCCACTGGCCGAGCAAGTGAAAACAGAGATAGATAAATGGGACTATCTTAAACTAAGAAGCTTCTGCACCTCCAAAGAAACAGTGACCAAAATACAAAGACAGTCTACAGAATGGGAAAGGATATTCACCGAATACACATCTGACAAGGGGTTGATATCCAGGATATACAAAATACTGGTTAAACTCCACAAGAAGAAAACATCCAACCCCATCCAAAAATGGGGCAATGAAATGAACAGAAACTTTCTCAAAGAAGAAATCCGAATGGCAAAAAAGCACATGAGAAAATGCTCTACATCATTAATCATCAGGGAGATGCAGATCAAAACCACAATGAGATACCATCTCACACCTCAGAGACTGGCCCACATTCAAAAGAACAAAAGCAACCGATGCTGGCGTGGATGTGGCGAGAAAGGGACACTCCTTTACTGTTGGTGGGAATGTCCACTGGTTCAGCCCTTCTGGAAAACAGTATGGACGATTCTCAAAAAATTAGATATTGAGCTCCCATTTGACCCAGCAATACCACTCCTGGGAATATATCCCAGAGAGGCAAAAATGTATAGTCGAAGTGACATCTGCACTTGTTTGTTCATTGCAGCACTCTTTACAATAGCCAGAAACTGGAAGAAACCTGAATGCCCAAGAACAGATGACTGGTTAAAGAAACTTTGGTACATCTACACAATGGAGTACTATGTAGCTCTTAGAAAAGATGAAGTCATGAAATTTACATACAAGTGGTACAATATGGAAAGTATCATGCTAAGCGAAATGAGTCAGAAAGAGAGGGATAGACATAGAAAGATTGCATTCATCTGGGGGATATAAAGTAACAAAGTATGAGATTAATACCCAAGAATAGCTGAGATCAGCACCAGGAGGATTACTCCATAACTTAGAGGCCAGCCGGGTATCCTAGAGGAAAGGGCTGTTCAGATAGAGAAGGGAGCACCAAATAAAGGATGTTTGGAGGATCCTCCCAGGAGGGGAGATGCATGTCGAAAGTAGACTATGGACTGAACATGTTTGCCACTCAATGCCTCTTTTGCAGACCACAACACCCAAAAGGAGAGAGAGAACACAGGGGATTGCCCTGCCACAGAGACAGGGGGGATGGGGGGATGGGGGTGGGAGGGATATTATCCATGGTGGTGGAAAATGGGCACTGGTGGAGGGATGGGTATCTGATCATTGTATAATTGAAACCAAAGCACAAAAAATTGTAAATCTACAACTTTAAAAAAAAATAAAATAAAGGGAAAAAAAAAAGAAGAAGCTTTAAGAAATTGTCAACAATTGAGAAACTGATGCATATCCTTCTAATGAAAAATAAGAAAATAATGGTGTCCTACTGCCAAAATACATTATTGACAGAAAGTATATATAAATAAGTGAAATGATTTGTTTCCCTCTAATTTTAATAAAACCTGTAATGTAAACTTTGATGGTATAAATTTAATATTTCAAAGTACTTCTAAAATATTTATGAAACTCAGAATAGTCAAAGCCATCCTTATTTTAAAAAGATGGAATACATTGTCTTCCCAGACTTTATACTTTATTACAAAGCTCTAAGAATGAAAAATACATAGTATTGAACCCAAGATAGATCCTTAGATCAATAAAGAAGAACTAAGAGCTCAGAGGTAAACCCATAGATGGGTATGTGGCAGTGTATGACAAATAAGACTAGTGCATGAAATGGACCAAGGACAGCCTCTTCTACCTGTGGCGCTGGGAAAACTGGAGACCCATATGTTAAAAAAATGAAACTACACTCTTTCTCATGATGAATAGAAAGGTTAATTTAAAAGAGAAGGAAGACTTGGTATTAAATCTTTCTATAAAATATACTGAGAATAACATAGGAAAGATGCTGCCAGATTTTAACCAGAGGATTTTTTAGGTTTTTTTTTCTTCAGTTTTTGCAAATGAAACAAGAGCA